ATCTTTTACATGGGCCAATTATCCTTGTAGGCAAAAAAAGAAGTCCTAGTGGAGAGAAACCCTATGAAGGTATTCAATATGGTGAAGAAGAGTTTGTGCCCCCTGGAAGGAGAGAAAAATGAACTTGCAAGCATGAAACTGAGTTGTTTGACCGTGATGGTATTCTGCTTCCCTGAATCCTGCAAAACTCTGTTAGGAGTCTGGAGTGATGGTGACTCCAGATGGCACCCAGATTGTCAGGAGACCTTGAGACTTAAACAGAAGTCACTCTAAGCCTGGGTAATCAGATATTTACAAAGAATTGTGGAGTATGGAGGAACTCTTAGGGAGGGAGCTTTGGGTGTGAAAGCCAGAGGACCAAATGACCAGACAGCAATGCTTGGGGTGTACCTGAGGACATACTGGCTCCTACTGTGCTCTCTGTATCAACTCACTTGTGGTGGGTCAGCCCCAACCAGGTCTTCTACTCTTTCATTTTCTTGGCACTATATGTAGTTTTCAGAGTCAGCAACCTGCAGGCCTCCACTTTGTGGTCCCCACTTGGACCTTAAAGCTCCTCAGTTCCCACTGTGTCAATCTCTATAACCTGCCTGCCTGGTAGGAATAAGGATATTTTAAAGAGACATTTATATCTCTGCCTTTGGCTAACAACTAGTGAAACAGTGGAACCTATGAAATTCTAATTTCCCTGGGAATCTCACTGTGGGAAAAGACTGAATCCTCCAGATGAGAATGTCTCTACTGAAGAAACATTTACTCCTTATCTCACCATCTTTCAGGAGAGACAGAAGCTGAGAATGGGAGAGGGTTTTAGAGATGGTAAAAATTCATTATATGGATTCATTAGATTACTTAGTCTTGCATATAATTTACCTTTTATCTAAACCTGTTAGGACTCAAGGATGGATTACTTACCTTACATTTCCATCACTTTCCCAAAATAGTCAAACTGAATAAAAATCATGCTTTCAGTTTTCATTAAGAATTTGCTTCTTTTCTTTTCTATTCTATTCTTTTCTTTTTCCTTTTTAAAGAATAGTCTTACTATGAATTCCTGGCTGGCCTGGAATTCACTATATAGACTAGGCTGTCCTGGGACATCAGAGAGATCTACCCACTTCGCCTCCAGAGAGCCTGCATTATAGGTGGGCTTGTCACAACTGGTTGGGTTTTTAGTTGGCTTATTCAGGATGAGTGGCTGAGCCTAGTTGTTTAGGAGAGTCAGGACACAGGCTTTGGTCCTAACTCCTAATAACAGAAGGAGGCTCCCATCAAGAGCAACCCTCCTGCTTTAAATTCCACTGTCTTCCAACTATTAGCAATATTATTTTTCTTTATCATTCAGTCTGTTATAACTCATAAAGGATCCTGGGCAGAGTTCTGTCCTTATTCTCCAGATAACGAAACCCATACTCACAGGGATTTTTAATTCAGTTAAGTGTAAGTGCTAATCTTACTCATCCTGTCATTCTAATGTATCACTAAGTGAAGTTGAAGCCACCTCAGCCAGGCATGGTGGCACAGGCCTGTAACCATGGTACTTACAAATAGGAGGTAGGAATTTCAGGATTTCAAAGTCATCTAAGGTGAGAATGATCAATGGGGTATGGTGGGAGGCCCATAGAACCAAGGGAGACTGTGATTAATTCAGGACAGTGTTCATAGTCTTCCCTGCAGCTCCAGAACTTCAGGGCCATGGCACCAACAAGTGTTAGCTGAGGTTTTTGCACCTCAGGTTTTCTATTCTTGATATTTCCTGTCTCAGGCAGCCTAGGTGGGTTTGGGGTTAGACTCTTGTTGCTCATTAAAGAGTGGAATTCTCCTGTAGGTAGGAGAATTAGCCTCCGGCAAGGATGAGCTCCCTAATTGTATATCTAATGCAATGTGCTCATCCCATGAAACTATATACACACAACCAACAGAAATAGACTCAGCAAGTTTTATTCATATATTTGTACATACTTAATCATATATGCTAAACAAAGAAGAAACTGGAAGGGAAGAATTTGGGAAGGGATGATGAGTGGACAAAGAAGGGAGAAAGTGATATAATACATTTTAATGAAAATAAATTTTAAATAAAAAAAAGCGGCTAGTTAGATAGCTTAACAGTTAAAGAGCACTGGGTATTGTTACAGAAGCCCCAGGTTTTGTTCCCAGAAACCACCTGGTAGCTAACCACCTCCTGTTAATTCCAGTCCCTAGGAATCTGATGCCCTCTTCTGGACTCTTCAGGTATTGCACACAGACACTTGGCAGGCAGACATCCATATACATAAAACAAAAATAAAGCTTAAAAAATGGAATTCTCTACAGTGATGTCACAGCCCTGAGACAGAGAGCAGGCCAGGCTATTTAAAATGAACTTCTTCTGGTCCTGCATGGAAGCAACTATTGCCTTTCTCTGAGTCAGCATGCTCAAAGGCAAAAAGCAGACTTATTCTGAGATTAGAATAGCTCAGTAGGACTGTTCATCTAAGAACAGCATTCATAGTACTGATAGGTGACTTTTCCTTCATGTTTTCTGTATTTGTGTTCTCTGCCCTTTGTATGTGTTAGAATTAAAAGCAATGATACATTTTTAAAGGTATTGATATGGCCTTTAAATATAGATCATAATGTATAATCTACAAGATAGATTGTTCTGTATAAATCTTCATCTAAGTGGTTAGACTTTCATTTTCCTCTCCCTATTTAAATTGTTTAAAGTATAACCTGGGCCCTGATCCAAAAAAAGGCTTAAGAATGATATCATATATGGAATGCAAAATCTGTTCTAGATAGGCTCCTCTTTTAGCATTAGCCGGAGCTGGATGCACAGTTATTAAAGGTATTTTTGTTTATTAATCTCTTAAGTGTGTAGAGTGATTTCTTCCTGAAAAGGCATATTAATTCTAGGACAGCTGTACTTTCAGCCTTTTGGAAAATGTTTCTGAGACAAGCTCACCTATGTTGACTCAGGTAGCCTTGATCCCAGTCTATTGCTCCCCATGGCAATGACCTTACTGTCCTATTTATTAAACCAACTAAATTCTTAAATTAAAGGACTGTACCACCACTGAGTTTTAAAATTACCCATTTGAGTTATGTAGTCAACTGTCCATTGCAGTAACAGGAAAAGGATTTGTGTGTGGAGCATGGTTTTTGTCTTCAGACCAGAATAAGAGGAATAGTTTATTGTGTATGCTGTAGGGGGAAATAGGATAGGCAACTAGCTTCTGGAGTCACCATTAGGAAAAAAGATTTGATTGAGGCAGGATGAGTGATTTTATAATTTCCTAGCATTTATGTGGTGATATTTTATTTGTGCTCTAACAAATAAAACTTGCCTGAAAATCAGAAGGAAGAGCTAGCCACTAGTTAACCATAAAGGTCTGGAGGTCTGTACAGACAGACAAGAAGTGATAGAGCTGGGAGGAGAGAGGAAGTGATAAGGTGGAGTGGAGAGAGGAGCTTGCTCTCTTTAGGCAGAGGATTTCACAGGGGTAAGAACTAGTGGCTTGCTGGTCTGCCTCTCTGATCTTTCACCTTTCACCCTAATATTTGGCTCTGGGTTTTTTATTATAAGACCTTTTAAGAATCATGTTACACAAGTATTAATTCATGTCATGTGAATGAAGGCAGGGCAGAGTGGTGGGTGTAGAATTTGGGGAGGTTAGCTTGAGCCAGTGAATATCAAATTTCTAACTAGGGGCCTTTCCTTTGCAGATATGTTCAATCCTGGTTGGCACAGTTAAGTCAGTTCAGAGGGTTGAGATATAGGCCATTGGCTGTAGTTATGTGTGTCAGGTTACAGATCTCAGCAGCTAACATTGCACATAAGGGCAAGGTCAAATAGTACCTTATGAATGCCATTCTCTCTACCAGGGAATGGTTTACTCTTTTGCAAAGTCAATACACCTATGTGTTTTTTTTCAATTACATTTATCTTTATATATTTATCAATTGTGAATTTCACTTTTTAATTTGATTTTCTTGAAATGCATCATTGCACCATTGCTGTATTCTCTTATTTGTTTTTATTCTCCAGTGTTCCTCAGTCATCAAGAATTTCTTTCCAATTTTCTCAAGTGCTGTTGGGAAGATAGTCATGCAAATCCTCCCAGATGGGCTTTCACTGATCAGTGAGAAGGAAAAATAGACCAGTGAATGAGTGTCTTCTAACTTCTCTGGCTTTCTATTGGGAACTTATAAATGAGTAGGGACCTGTGTAAGAATTGAGTTCACTGACCAAAAGGTGTAGTCACAGCATAGAGAGGGAGGGCCAAGAAGGAGGGTGAATGCTTTCCTGCTGTGACAGTAGTTGACATTAGCAATGAGTTGTAGCACGAATCTTAAAAGTTCTCGCCAGTTCCTTTGCTGATCCTATTTCCTCAGACTGGAAGCCTCTGAGTCCTCATATCCGAATGGCTCTCAGCTGAACTGCTGCTCCAAAGCCTGAAATCTTAACTAGCCAAATGCTTCTAGTTTCTGGTCCTTACGCCTTATATACCTTTCCGCTTTCTGCAATCACTCCCTGGGATTAAAAGCTTGCTTTCTGGGATTAAAGGTGTGAGTCACCATGCTTGGCTGTATCCTTGAACACATGGATTTCTGCCTCTGGAATGCTAGGATTAAAGGCGTGTGCCACCTACCACTGCCTATCCTAAGTATCTAGTGGCTTTTCTGTTCTCTGACCCCAGATAAGTTTATTAGGGTACACAACATTTTGGGGAACACAATACCACCACAATGAGTACTGAAATAATTTTAGATGATCAATACATTTTCTGACTGGCAAGAGACCAGGCAATCAAGAATCTGGATAAAGAACTGAGCTTTTATAAAACCAAATTACTGTAGTTACACTAGCTCAACCAAAATAGAAGTTCTGGGTAAAATGGTGTGTCCCTGCCTAATAGGACTGTATTTTCCAGGTTTAAGATGTACATCCTAGGAAGGGTGGAGCCGGAAAGCCAATGTGCACTCTGTGGAATTGACGAGACCAAAGCTGCAGGAAAATGGACGGCAAGGTACAACGAGATGGAAAGATCTTGGATTTGATTGATGATGCTTGGCGGGAAGACAAGCTGCCATATGAGGATGAGCTTCCAGAGCCTGAGCAGGACAACGGTGACACCACAGAGTGTGTGAAAGAACAGGAGATGAAGTGGACAGACCTGGCCTTGCAGTGCCTCCATGAGAATGTCCCACCTGCTGGAAACTGATGCTGGCTTTCTTTCCCATGGATAGGGTTTTCAAAAATATGTAGATAAAGCATGTTTCCTCTCTGTCTCCAAATTCAGTTCTTTGAGTAATAAATCAACATTCAAAAATGTAAAAAAAAAAGATGAACATCCTAATAGAAAAGGCATGAATAATACTTGGTGTCCTCTAATACAAATCCCTAGTCTCTGGAGCACGTGGCCATAAAGTCTCTTTCAACTTTTAAACAAATTTCTTGGGATTATAATTACATCATTTCCACCATCTTTTCACTGCCTCCAACCCCAAGGATGTCAGTCATTCCAGGCTGGGCCTTGACTGGTCAGTGAGAAGGAAAAACAGACAGGGGAATGAGTGTGCTAATACAGCCTGGGCTTTTATTATGGCATGGCAATGCAGAGGTGCTTGTCTAGGAATGGGAATTCACATTGTCCACACATTATAAGCTGTTACGGTCACAGTACAGAAAGGGAAGGGCAGAAAGGAGCTTGAAAGTTTACCAGATTTGACTGCAGTTGGGATTACCAATGTGCAATCAGTTAATCGATTATAGGTGATCTAAAAATGTCCTGAGTAAACATTTCTTGGGTTCCACAGACCAGGTTCCTCGGCCAGGAGATTGACCTGTCCTTATTGAAATGTTTGTTCTGCACCCAGGACAGAGTTTCTATTCTTGGACAAGGGCCTTTTCCCCTTAATGGGCCTTCTTTACTACTTTTAACTTTTTCTCCTTCCTACAGTCCCCAGAATTACTTAACCCCCGAGATCAGAGATCCCAAAACATTTCTGGAATTTTTGGCCTCTGGCAAGGATGAAACTGCAAAGAGTCCCAGTGACACTTATGACTTTTAGTCAAGAAAGCAACTGGCTACTTTTCTTTGGGGTCTTTTTACCCAAAACTGCCTAGTCAATTTCTACTTCCAGTTCTTATCCCACCTCTCTCTGAAGAGGTAATTCTAGCTGCCATTATGGGATTAGGGTGATGACCAGTCTTGCTTCTTCCAGCTGAATTTGGGGTACCAGGTGTCAGTATTGGGATACCCTTGTAGAGGGCCTCTTGTAAAGTCCAAACTCTCAAATATGGACATCCTTGATGAGCTCAAAACAGCAGTCATCTATTAGATGTTTCCCTTTGACCTCTGTGGTTGGTCTCCAGAGTGATGATCCCACAATCAGCTTTCACAGCATTTCATACCTGTTTTATCAGCCAAAAGTCAACATGATGCTCTTCCCATATGGTTTCTGGATAGAGAGAGAAGAGTTATTTAGCCATCATTTAATTTGAGGGTTGAAACAATCATGATCCTGTCTTTCTTGATTGTGGCCAGGTGTTCAGTGAGCCAAGGCCTGATGTCTCACATCTGGGCAAAATCATTATATCAAGAAGAAAATATTATACATTTCATGTAGACTCACATCTAATGTCTGTGGAATACAATACATTGGATTGTTACCAATTCTCTTAGCCTTTGGTTAAACTTTCCTACTGAGTGCTGAAGACTCTTCAGGTGGTGAAAGTTAATTTTTCTTTCTGTGCTGTCAAGCCCAGCTGAGCAACTAGACCTCGGGAGTCACTTTGGCTTGAGAGGAAACTCAGCCTCTTACAGCTTTTCTTTTTACCAGTTGTCCATCAATGTGAAGATAAGTCAAAGGCTTTTTTTTATGTGCAGTGGGTTCCTTTGAAACCTTGAGGAAATCTTTTCCACATTGACCCTCCTTTTTGTAGACTAGACAATGTTTCAAATTCATTGAATTGGGTCTCTATGACTTCCTTCAACAAGACAGCAAATGATCGATGGCCTTAGTCCCCAGGGACCTCATTGGCCTTGTAGGGAGAGGGGAGTGCTGTGGATGTCTTTATGTATGCTGTGGAAATGTGTTACTATGATTGATTGATAAATAAAATGCTGATTGGCCAGTAGCCAGGCAGGAAGTTTAGTATAGGAAGAATCAGCAGAAAAGAGGATTGTGGGAAGTGGAAGGCCAAGTCGGGAGATGCTGTTAGCTGCTGCCATGAGAAGCAAGATGAAAGGTACCAGTAAGCCACAAGCCACATGGCAACTCATAGATTAATAGAAATGGGTTAATTTAAGATATAAGAACTAGATAATAAGAAGCCTGAGCCATTTGGCCAAACAGTTTAAATAATATAAGTGTCTATGTGTTTATTTGGGTCTGAGTGGCTGTGGGTCTGATGGGCCTGGAAAAAACTCCAACTACAGGGGAGAAATATTCTCCCTTTTAGTGCCTCTGACCACACTAGAATAGCCTCCAAGAATGATTATTAAACACCAAGGAAAATCAGTTTTACACCAGTTTGGTACTTTTAACTACTGGATAATATTTCAGTAGCCAGACATAACTCAATAAATGTGTTTGATATATATTTTAGCCAGTCCTTGAAATAGTTGCTATCTGACCTTGCCAACATTAATATAATATATTATCTCTAAATATCATTGTTTATGTACCTTAAACAGTTCACTCAGACCTTTATAACTTGCAAAACATTTCTAGTCTTCTTTATTCTGGAACCATCCAGTCATCATCATCTTCATGTATCTAAGGCCATTTCCATATTTACATTCTTCTAACATGTTCTTTTATGTACTGATTCTTTTTTCTAATACCACAAGACATATGAACATTCACAAATATATTGATGATCTGTTGTGAGAATTTTCTCCTTGGTGGAGGGGGACAAAGCAATGTCTGTCCCATTCCATAAGTCCAAATGACAATGCAAATGACAATTTCACCAAAGTCCACCCTGGGAACCAATGAGTTTACTGAGCTTAGTTACTGAGTATAGTTGAGGGGATACTTACAGAAGTTTGAATACTATTGTGGTTTGAATAAAAATGGTCCCCGTAGTGAGAGAGCTGGGGAGTCAGACCAGAGCCATGACAGGTTTCTAATAGCCCTGCCAGTGACCAGGCCTTTGTTTCAGTTTACTGGAACTGACTGGAGATGAGCAAACAGTTCTTGGGAAGACCACAACTCAGGGGCAACCAATCAGCTGCCACCCCACAGTCTTCTGCTGGCTCAGCAGGCAACCCAAAGAAGCCTCTCTGCTGGGTCAGCAGGTGCCCCCCCAGCCTTCTGCTACCTAAAGATAGCTTTTCCTACCCTCCCATCAACAAGCCCCTAACCACTTATAGCCTCCAACCAATCAGCTCCCAGACTAATCTTTCCTCCACCAATCAGTACCAGATTAATCTCTCCTCCTTGGAATTCCCCTAACTCCACTTAAAAGGAGCTTGTGACCTCTCTTTGGGGTCACTATTTGCCACCCCAACATGCTGGAAATAAATGCTCTTACTAAATTGCATATGTGACTATTGGTCTTTCTTTGGGGCTTTTCTTGGACCCTAACACATAGTCTCATAGGAAGTGGCACTACTAGGAGGTGTGGACTTGTTGAAGTAGGTGTGGCCTTGGAGGAAGTGTGTCGCAGTCACTTTCTGCTGCCTGCTGATCTGGATGTAGAACTCTCAGCTCTTTCTCTGGTACAGTGTGTGACTGCATACCACCATGCTGCCTGCCTTGACAGTAATGGACTAAACCCTTTGAAACTGTAAATCAGCCCCAATGAAATATTTTCCTTTATAAGAGTTGCTGTAGTCATGGTGTCTCTTCACAGCAGTAGAAACTCTAAGGCAGATAACCAAAAACAGCCACACAGCAATGTCTCCACATAGTATCTACAATGGCTCTCCCATATCTGCATATGTAGAGCTCACCTCTCTATTCTTCCACTGCTCATATACATTAGCATTACATTTTGTTTCTCAGTGTACATAGGAGGTAAGCCTGATAGCACTCAAGGTAAATTCCCACTTTAAAAGATGGCTTTCTCATAGGTGCAAATGCAGAATCCCAAGTCTTTCCCAGTCTATGTACTCTAGCTTCTTCCCCAAACCACAAGATCACATGTCATTAGGGCTGAATTGCTTATAGTTGCCTGGGAATGAGGCTGTATACTCAGAAGGAGGGGATACCTCCTTCTATGGTGGAATATCAACAGTCAGCAAACCTGTTGGTGGTCATTCTTTGTAATCAGGCACAGCTGATCATAGGAAGGTGTCAATTTTTTTCTTAAGATAGTGCTAAGCAACAGTTAAATCAAAGAAAGTTGAATTGAAACTGTATAATATAATGTAATAAATTTATATTTCCTAGGTACAATCTGTTAAACTAAACCTTAGAAATAACACAAGGCAGTCTTTATATAGTACAAGGCATCACTACTATAACCATGCTTTTGGTTTTTAATGGATGTATGTAACTGATACAAACAGACAGCAAACACATAACAAAACATCATCAAATTAATGTGTAAAGAATCCAATACAACACAACTAAAAAATCCTTCTTAAAATTATGGTGCTCCAGCTTACTACAGAGAGATCTATACACAGAGGGTCTCTGTATCCTCTGTGTGGATAAGTATCCCATTAGCTGTTTTAACCACAGATATGTGACCAATAACAGTATTCATTAAAAGAGAACAATCTTTTACCCACTAGCTTCCTAATCTCTAACAGGCCTGACTAACATACTACTTACCTTTGGGGTATTTTAGAGGCAGCTCTCCCTTAGGTAAATTATCCATTGTGTGATTTACTGTCTCCTAAGTATTTGTCAATCCTATATATCACCAATTCTACTCTTGAATATCAAAGCTTCGAAGTGAAGTGCTACTCAGTACATCAGATGCCATTTACAACTTCCATGAAGTTAACTCCAAATGGATTTTACACCTAACTGTCAAACTCAAAGTGAAGATCTTCTAGAGGATACTAGAGAGAATAGGTCTCTCTGAGCTTGGCAACCTGCCCAGGTCTCAAGAGCTTTCCCTAAGTCTCTGAAGTATAGAGCAAAAACAAAGCTCCTTCTCTAAAACTAGGAATACACCTGGGAGAGCTGGTAAAGGTCTGTGGACAGGGCCTTTGGGGAGGGGTTGCTTCAGATCCTGAGAACCCAGTTCTTTTCACACATCGGGCTGTGCTTATTAGTCCCAGTGTTGCTGTGGACTTTATTTATAGTGTTCTTGAGATACCCTGTTTCTTCTTGTGCAATATTGTCTGATTAGTTTCCTTCTGAATTTGTGTACTTCATTTAAAAACGGAATTCATTGGTTCCGATTACCCAGAGACTTGCTGTTGAATTTGGCTGAAATCTCCAGCCAATGTGGGATAGGTATGTGCTGGTGTGGAAACCAGGGCTGGTAAGCTCTGGGTTGTGTCTCTTCAACTCAAATGGTCCTGTCACTCAGGCCTCACTAGCCAATCAGAGCCTCCAGCATACCCACCAGTCAGATGGGAGGGTTCTTCCGTGCACCGGACTCAACTCTGCTGAGGAAGTCGGAAGTTGGCCCGTGTGCTGTGCTGTGGGCTTCCCTGTGCTGAGAGTGTAGGCAAGCTTGTCTGCTACACCATGGTGAGTGAGGGGCTGTAGTCCCCAGGCAGGGAGGAGTGGCTGGTCATGGTGAGCGACGGACTGCTGTTCCCAGGAAGGGAGGAGTGACTGTCTGAGCCGCGGGAGTCGGTGTGGTGGGTCCTTCCCTGGCTGGGTGGGATCCAGCTGCCCGAAGCTGAGTTCAGAGTGGTCCTTGCAACTCCCTGGGCTGGGGTGGCAGCCTCTAAGTAACTTCACTTCATGGGCTGCATCTGTGCAGGGCACTGGGAGCTGGACTGTCCATAGAAATATCCTTGTTGACGTCACTGTGAAATGCCGGCGACTGTGTGCTTGTATTGTCACTATGGCAGGCAGATTTGCCAAACTTGGAGAGCCCTGGTCTCATCAGTTATTGGTGTAATTATTAAGGCCACTCCACGTAGTTAAAAGGAGATTTATTTAATGGCGTAACTTACAAATTAAGGGATAGGTAGGTCTCGGGGTCTGGGGAAGGTGTATCACAGTCCAGCGGTGTTCTCTGGAGCTCTGCTTGGTCCACCTCCACTATCCAGGGTCCCCCCCATCCAGATCTCGGGTCCCCAGGCACCTCCCTTGGCCCCGCCTTGTAGGTGTGACAGTTGCCGAAGTCTCAATGGGGGTTGGAACTTCCAGATCAAACCTGGAATGGCTACCCACTACAACCAGTATCTTCCAAAAGTTCTGCAGTTTTAACATTTAACATTTAGGATTAGGATCCATCTGGAGTTAATTCTGTGGAGATTGTAAGCCGTGTCTCCTGTGTAGAGTAGCACTCCACTGCTAAACTGTGATGTGGAAGAGTAGAATTGATGGTAATAGAATTGATGTTGTAAGGATTTACCAATTCTTAGGAGACATTTAAGTCACATAAAGTAGAATTTAGCTAAGGGAGGGCTGCCTCCTAAATACTCCAAAGATAAGTAGTATGTTAACATGCCTGTTAGAGATTAGTATGATAAGCTACAATTTGCATAACAAAGGAGACAATCCTGATTTACTACCAGACAAAAGGTCCCCTCCCCACAGCAAAGAACAGGTGTCTGGCATGCTGCTCAAGGGGCCATTACAGGGTCACAACCAACATTAAGTCCTGGTGTGCCATGAAGGCATTAATTCAAGAACAGTTGCATCTCCAGTCTTTTTGAAAAGCAGTCTCCTATGTTGATTGAGGTGAACTTGAACCTTGTCTGTAGCCACACAGGGCATTGCCCTTGCTATCCCTCTGACTAACCACCCTGAATTTTTGGTTTACAGGTCTGTAGCACTACTCAGTTCTAAAATTACCGGTTTGAGTCACATAGTGGACTGTCCATTGCAGTAACAAGAAAGGACTTGTGTGTGGTACATAGATTCTCCCTTCATACCAGAGGAGGAGGAATAGTGTACTATGTACACTGCAGGGAGAAACAGACTAGACAATTGCTAGATCACAGACTGAAGTTTAAGGCAGTGAGCTTCAGGGGTCTCCATCATAAAGGAGGACCTGCTGGGGCAGGGTGAGTGATTTTCTGTGTAATTTAATTCCTTGTATTAATTCCTTCCATGTGAATGAACAGACAGAATTGGTGGGTATACAATTTAGGAAGGATAATTTGAACTACTCAGTATTCAGTTTCTAATTAGGGAACTCTCCTATGCAGATATCTGCAGTCCTGATTGACACAGTTAAGTCAGCTCAGAGGTTTGAGACACAGGCCGTTGGCTGTAACTCTGTGTCAGCTTACAGCACTCAGTGGCTAACATTTTACATGAGACAAAGTCATACAATATCTTATTAATGGCATTCTCCCTACCAGGGAAGTGCCTAGTCTGTTTCAAAGTCAGTATAGCTAAGTGTTCTTCCAAATATGTTTATCATTTTAGAGTCTATTATTGGTTTCATTTTCTTTAAATAATTTTTCATTATTGCTCTAATCTCTATTTGTTTCTATTTTCTAATGTTTCCATGTTATTAAGAATTTCATTCCATTTTTTTTCTCAAGTGCTATTTATTTATTTATGTATTTATTTATTTATTTATATCAATTTAGAGCAGTGGTTCCCAATTTGGGGGTTCAAGGCTCCCTTTTGGGGGATCAAATGATCCTATCATAGGAGTGGTCTAAGACCACTAGAAAACACAGATATTTATATTACAGTTCCTAACAATAGCAAAATTATAGTTATGAAGTAACAGTGAAAATAATTTTATTGTTAGGGGGTGGTCACCACAACATGAGGAACTGTATTAAAGGTTCACACTATTAGGAAGGTTGAGAGCCACTAGTTTAGATAATTTCTCCTGTAACTCAGACTTGCCTCACACTATGTAATTGAGAATTGCTTTGAACATTTAATCCTGACTTTGCTGCCCAGTGCTGGAAAGACAGTCCTGCAACTCCTTCCATGCTGGGCCTTGACTTGTCAGTAAGAAGGAAACATAGACCAGTGAATGATTGTCATTCAACTTCTCTGACTTTTATTGTGAACTTGCAAATGAAGAGGGATCTGTGTAAGAATTGGGTTCACTGACCAACTGTAAAACAGGTGTAGTAATAGCATTGAAAGGGAGAGGCAGGAAGGAGGGTAAAAGCTTTCCTGTTTTGACAGTAGTTAACGTTAATTATGAGTAGTGAGGTAATCAGTTTTAGATGGTGAATAAATGTCCTGACTAGCCATTTCTCAGGTTCAGAGACCAGGCAATCAAGAATCTGGCTGAAGAACTGAACTTTTATGAAACCAAATTACTGTAGTTAACACTAGTTAAAAGAAAATAGAAGAACTTGATAAAATGGTGTGTCCCTGCCTGACATGACTGAGATTTAAGATGTACACCCTAAGAGAAATGGCTTGAGTAGTACTTGGTGTGCTCTCATACAAATCCCTAATCTTTGGAGCACATGGCCATAAAGCCTATTTCAACTTTTTAACATGATTTTTTTTGGATTATAATTACATCATTTCCATTATCTTTTTTCCTGCCTTTAAGCCCTCCCAGTGACCCTTCATTGTGTTGTAATCCATGGCCTCTTTTTGTTTTAACAACAGTTACTGTTTGAATGTAACCTGTGTTTGACTGCAGGACCTCTCATCTATGAAGCAAAGGGCTGAATGCACTGGAAGTTTGCTGGGGGATATCTTTATGCTGTGAATATATGTTGTTCCCATTGGTTAATAAATAAACTGCTTTGGCCTATGGCAAGGTAGCTTAGAGGCAGGCAAGAAAGGGGAGAGACAAGAAAGGGAAAGGCAGGGTGTAGAGAGAGAGACGCCATGCCACCGTCCAGAGAACAGCACACAGGTAAAGTCACGGAACATGTAGCAATATGATTAATAGTTATGGGTTAATTTAAGATATCAGAACTATCTAGCAAGAGGCCTGCCATAGACTATACAACTTGTAAATAATATAAGCCTCTGTGTGTTTACTTGGGTCTGAGCAGCTACAGGACTGGGCAGGACACAGGAAACCTTCAGACTACAGAAGCTGAGTGTGTAATGGAATGTGCACACAAAGGACCCTGTGCCTTGAAAGAGGAATAGTAAGTGCTCTGGGAGAACAGAAGATTCTACTAAACTACAAATTTCCCAGACTAGGCCACTCTAATCCTAGGGTGGAAGGACAGAGCTGGGAAAGCCTATGCTGTATGAGTCATTTGATCTCTTCTCACCCAATAGGGTAACTGGTAATTTCCTGAGGCCAAGCTGTATGATACCAGTGAATGAGAGACTCTAGGAAGGCTTAGCAATCAGAAGCACCAGTGGGAGGTAGCTTATAGGTTCTTTCCAGGATTCTCCTCTGGTTCTGCTGTAGGGAGCTGTAAGGAAGACCACAAGCCATGCCGTGGTGAAGGTGGGGGCCACTGTCCCCTGACCAGGAAGAGCAGGTTAGCTGAGCTGTCAGAGTCTCAGCAGCTGGGACTGGGATAGACCATTAGCCAGAATATGGTTCTCTTGGTCCCTGTGGTGACCTGGGCAGTGAACTTTGGCCTCTGAGTCTTGCTGAGTGTGTATTCCCTGGGAAGGGGAGGCTCTGCTACCCTGGCATGGGAGGCTATGGTGCTTATAATATCACTGTCCAGTGTGCACACACAGGTATTGCTTTTGGTGTGCAGTGGGAAGATAGTTTGGAAAACAGAAGGCCTGGTTTCTAGAAGTCCTGAACATTGCTTTCCACTTTCAGGTTTGTCTTATAAATGTTCCAGATAGTATAGAAACTGGTAGAAAGGAGGAATGGGGTTCATCCTTCAGTAATACATGATTAGAATGCTTTTAACTTTCTGCTACTGCCAGCCACCATGGTATTATTCTGTGAAGTTCAGTTCATGGGGACAAAAGTAGTTTCTGAGCTCCAAAGGTATCCCAGGTTTGCATGGTGTTGGGCAGGTGGATAGGTCATATTCCATATTTTTGCCATAATCCATGTGGCAGGAAGCAGACATTAATTATTCTTCTACATTGTTTTGTGATTGGGTATCATTGGGGCTGGGTTTGCCTCAAACCACAAGGGGCATGAGGGGCTTTAGAGCCACAGTAGGCTCTGGAGGAGCTCACCTCCATTTGCAGAGAGGGCTCTAGGGCATGGGTTCTCTCTGAAAGGATTATCTGTAGCTGGAGGGTCAGAAACATAACAGTTTAAGGGGCACTTTGAATTAATTTTGTGGAAGTTGTGAAGTCTGGTTTATTTAATTTCTATACACATAGAACCATAGGTAGCAGGGTAACATTGGTCAAGATCACATTTGTTTTCTTGGCTGAGTTTCCTTTGGCTTTTTGGTTAAATGTTGACTATAGTTTTGTGCTTTGTTCTTGGCTTTTTCTCTCCATTCCCTTTATTTTTTCACAAATATTATATACATTCTGGATTATTCTAGCTTTTGTGGTAAATATAGAAGTCACATTGTGTACTATTTTTTCATAATCCTATTGAGCATTCTGAGTATTTCCAATTTGCATGTAGCTTTGGAATCAGCTTTCCTGTTACAAATTGTTGGGCATTGTCTTTGGATTATATTCAATTTATG